GATGAAGTGCTGTATTCTTTAATGGATGTTAATAAAAGAATCAGTAAAATTGTCCAAGACACAATTTTTACTCGTGATTTATATTTACGAGAATATTCTCCAGTCGACGATTCTACCTTCCCATTATCAAATCCAATACTTGATCGATTTTGTTCAAAAATTTTACCTGAAATTGGACATACAATTGAAACTCTTTATCTTAAAGGAACATGGATAGAACGTGTTTTTCATGCTACAAATTATCCTAATTTAATCAACCTTGGTTTATGTGATATTCAATTCAAAATAACTATGTCTCTGTTTCGTGGTAAGAAATTTTCTTTGATTGATTTCATTGTAGAATACATTAGTTACTGGAAAAGAAGATGATTTATTTTCAATGTATACATAAAAGTAATAGGTATTCATAATTAAACATTTTATACTAATAGTAAATCATTTTTCATTTCACTTCTGTCTACATAAATAAAAAATTCTATTTATATGTAGGAACGGTATTACTCGAAAAAGAATTTAATCGTTCATTTGTATAACAAAAAAACGAAGATATTAATAATATATTCAACTGAAATTTTTCAAGATTAATAAAGACAATTTAGAGCGTCTAGAAGAAAATAATATAAACAAGTCAATGATTGAGATAGAACACTATTGATCACATAGAATGTAATAAGAGAGTATTTAAAAAAGAATCTATCATACATAAGTGAGAATATTGTTAAATAGAAAATTTTAGATATCTTAACCGAATAAAAATAGATCAAAAACATATATTTTTATCAGTAACTTTAAAATTTTATTTAGATAAAAATCGTTTCCCGCATGTATACAAAAATAAAATTACATCACTTTTTATCAATTTTAAAAATGAAAACAAATGGATTGACTTGGGAGTTTGGCATACAATGATATTTGCACAAATTTTCACTATATTTACTAATTTACGATGTTTAAAATTCAACCCATCTTCATCTTATCTTAGCGCTTTATGTTTATTTATGACGCCTGGAACTGATATTTCTTCAACTTTATTAGAATTACATGTCACTGTGTCAGATATAAAAGAATGTCTTTGTATACTTGATGGACGTTTTGATCAACTTCGTATATTATATGTTATTTTTTATACAACTTTTAATATGAACAATGAGCATAAGGTAGGTTATTTTTATTAATATTTTGTTTGTTTAAATGAACTTATATTTGTTTTCATTTTTAGGAAAAGCCATTACCAAACTTACGGATTTTTTCTTTGTGGTGCAAGGATAAGATATATAATTTTGAGAAATCAGTTGTGCCACTTCTACGTCGAATGTTAAATTTAGAAGAACTTCATTTAAATATTACAGTTCAATGTTATGAAAAGTTGATTGATGGTGAGACATTGAAGAAAGATATTGTTATTTATATGCCACAATTATATAAGTTCACCTTTAATATTTGCTCAATCATATATCATCGTAATCAAACAAATTTTCCATTAAATGAACATATTCAGAAAACGTTTCAATATTTTCCTAATAATGAAATAATTACTTGTATTGATAATTTTCAAGAAAAAGCATTTAGTCAATGTCATATTTATTCATATCCATATAAGTGGGAAGTTTACAATAATATAACAAATAATTTTCGTGGTGGATTATTTATGAGTGTTACTAAAGTATTATTATATGATGAACATTCATTTGAATATGAATTTTTTCTTCGAATTTCGAAATCATTTCCATTTATGAGAGAACTAACAATAAACAATCGAAAAGCACAAAATAAGAAACAATTTATAAAATCAAACAATGATGATCAAATATTACCAATTATTGAATATCCCAATCTTCAACGACTGGATCTTTCAGATACTCATGATGATTATGTTGAACTATTTTTATTTGATACGAAAATATTTTTGCCAAATGATCTTCATATTTGTACCCATTATCAATCATTGAAAACAGTGACATACTATTTTACAAGATATACAACAGGAAGTAATTGTGTTAAACTTGCTGCTCTATATGTTGATGAGATGGAGCAAATCAATGAACATATCAAAAACTATTTTCCTGATATATGTATACGTGAGGCTATTGATTTTGAATTACTTGAATAAAATATATCGAAAATGGATCTATTTATTTGAAATTAAATGATTGGAAAGAGACAAAAAGAATGAATAAAAATAAAAATTTGAAACGAGAAATCGATAACAATATGTAGTATCACCCAAAAATTGATTGTACAAGTGAGAGATGAGCTTGTATGGTAGATCTTCACAATTGCTTAACTATTTGAACTTCACATACTTTATCAATTTATAGTTTATCTGTGATTGTGTTTTTTCAAATCAATTCTTTTGATTTGTCAATGAAAACTGTTCGTAGAACAGAAAAGGATGGCATCTTAGTGGATTTTCTTACTAATGTTTTATATCAAAAATACTTGATTTTGTGTGCTAATTTCTATCTATTCTTGTGTTTAATCAAAATAAATAACATCTATGAGTAAAGATTATACACAACGACTAAAAAATATTGTCGAATCAATTCCTTCGGTCATCTTGTGTTAAGAACATAATCTATCTAACTCTGAAAATAGAACGGCCGTTTTAGTTGAAAAAGTTGTTTTTGTTTACAGTCATTTCTCAAATGATTGACATGCGCTGTTTCTATTTGTAAGAATATTAGATTTAGTTTCTCGACAAAAAGAGACGGTAAGGAGAACGATTTTTGTTTTATGATGTTTTAATATGAATGAGAACAAAATCGTATTCTAATATGTTAAATATATTTAAGATAATGTCATAATTGAGAATAGTTCATACATGCCAAGTAATTATTGTCAGTACAAAAGAGATAACACTAGAATTTTGTTTTTAGGTGAAAAATAATAGATATTGAATTTGATTAAAATGATAGTCAAATTCAAAATATCTTACATATGATAAATCATTGGTGTTCGCTTCAAACAGATTTTACTGTAAAAAATAAAATAAAATCATCAAGAAATTTTTTTATCCATTTATTTTTTGTTTATAACAATAATAAAAAGATCAGAACATCAATGCAGAATAAAAATCAAGGTTATGAGTTGTATTCTGTTTTTTTTTGTTTGAGATTATGTTAATATAATGAAATGTGGAAAAAAAAGAATGTATAAGACAAATAAAATACAAATAGCACAACTAAAGCATTCAAAATGTGTCATTTCTATAATTAATATCCCCTGTTTTTAAAAACCAGATGATTCATTTGGTACAGTAATGAGTTGTTTCCATCTTGTAAACATATTTTAAATTGTTCTGGTATTGGATATTCTTTATATTCTCCATCACCAAATGGAACATTAATTGTCATTTCAGATGATTTTGATGTTATAAATATTGTATTAAGTGATAAATTTGATAAATAAATATGACAACCATCAGTTTTTTCAATTTGTATTGTTGGTACATTTTCCATTACTTGTGCTTTTATTTGACAACAATTAACAAATTCAACTAATGATACAACTGATGTAAATTGTATGCCAACATTTGTGCATTGATCAAGTGTAATTGAATTAACTTTACCATGAACAATTAATGTTGAATTTGAACATTTATAAACATATATTGTATGTATCATATTTGTTTCAGTTATTTTTAAATCAGATCGACCCGAATAATATTCAACAATCCATTTATTACCTTCAAGTACTAATTTTGGTGGATGTGAAGCTAAAGTTAAACCAGTTCTATGATATTGTTTAACATAAATATATAATTCATTTAATATTTTCATCCATTGTTTAACTCAGTCAGCATGAAGGACAAAAAAAAACATTCTAATCAAAAATTATCCAACAGCTGTGCTTCCCCATCCTAACACATTGAAAAACAAAAAAGAATGTTTTGGAAACTGTGCTAATCTATCGGCTTTCTATCTCTAGGTAAAATATATGAGCTTTCAGCATTATAATAATTTAGATGATCTGTCTCCTACTTAAATATATCCAAGAAAATGACTTGAATCTTAAATATTCACTTACATATTTTTTTTCGTGAAATCTGTCTGTACGTGTAACTAACACAAAACTTGATAATTTTTTTTCCTAAAATTGGTTGGAATACGCATGAATTAACTCTAACACTGATTTCAGCATTACACTTTAGACACTCGTAGTTTTATTAATCACAAAAAAAAATACGTTTGTATTTAATGATATAACGGAAAAATTAATTGAAAAATTAAATAGAAGAAATGACTCACTTTTATTTATTTTTTGTTTATTAAAATTAATTAATAATTCTAAAATATGTTTAATCGAGTTTAATGATGAAGTAATTTTTATCCAAGTTGAATAAAATACTTCATTATTAGAAATTTGTTTTGGATTATCATTTGTAAAATCAAGTTGACATAAAGCTTTAAATTTTTTTTTTATTTTTAATAACTGTTTAGATGAATCATCACCACATCGTACAAGACTTTCGAATTGTTCAATTAATTTTGAAAATGAATATCTGGTTGACAATTGATTAAGAATTAATTCCATTGATAATTCATTTTCTTCAGTACCATACAATAATTTCGACCATACTTCGGGTGATGTATTAAATCCTTTAATACATAAAAATATTTATTAAATATAAGTTGAACAAAAAACAAAAGATCTTTACCAAATACTATAGCACTTCGAATAAATTGTACATCATAAGCATTGCGAAGACTTTCATAATTTTGAAAGTTTTGTTCAAGATTTATTAATAAACGGTGGTGAAATCCTCGTACCTATTATAAAAACAAAAATTTCTAATAATCATTTCCTGTTTTTTGTTATTATTGTATATTTACTCGTTGAAAACAGGATGCATCCGATAGTAATTGAACAATTTGTCGAACATTTTTTTCCTTGTATGTACTTCTTACTTCTGACACAGAAATGACAATTTCTTTAAGTGATAATGCTGAACGAAATTCGAAAAACAATAAAATTGAGCGCAATACATTTTCTTGCATAGCTTAATTAACCCTTTCGCTCCCGGCAACACATATATGTGTGCAAATGTATTTATCGAATAAAGGCCGCAGTAGTACATGTTTTAACCGTTTAGAAAAGCTTCTTATCGTTTGTTAGATGGTGTCAT